CACTTTCACTCCACTCCCCCCCTCCCCTCCCCCCCAGGCTGGAATCACCACCACCCTGAACTCCCGTTGTTCAGTCCTGGCCGCGGCCAACTCTGTTTACGGACGCTGGGACGACACAAAGGGCGAGGACAACATTGACTTCATGCCCACCATCTTGTCCCGCTTCGACATGATCTTCATCATCAAAGACCTCCACGACCAGCAGAGGGACATGGTGAGGCGACCACATCGCTCTGTGTTTCAGACCTGGGCTGGACACGGCGCTGACTCAGGTGTGTGTGTGTGTGTGGGTGTGTGTGTGTGTGTGGGTGTGTGTGTGTGTGTGGGTGTGTGTGTGTGTGTGGGTGTGTGTGTGTGTGTGGGTGTGTGTGTGTGTGTGGGTGTGTGTGTGTGTGTGGGTGTGTGTGTGTGTGTGGGTGTGTGTGTGTGTGTGGGTGTGTGTGTGTGTGTGGGTGTGTGTGTGTGTGTGGGTGTGTGTGTGTGTGTGGGTGTGTGTGTGTGTGTGGGTGTGTGTGTGTGTGTGGGTGTGTGTGTGTGTGTGGGTGTGTGTGTGTGTGTGGGTGTGTGTGTGTGTGTGGGTGTGTGTGTGTGTGTGGGTGTGTGTGTGTGTGTGGGTGTGTGTGTGTGTGTGGGTGTGTGTGTGTGTGTGGGTGTGTGTGTGTGTGTGGGTGTGTGTGTGTGTGTGGGTGTGTGTGTGTGTGTGGGTGTGTGTGTGTGTGTGGGTGTGTGTGTGTGTGTGGGTGTGTGTGTGTGTGTGGGTGTGTGTGTGTGTGTGGGTGTGTGTGTGTGTGTGGGTGTGTGTGTGTGTGTGGGTGTGTGTGTGTGTGTGTTTCAGACTCTGGCTCGTCATGTGATGAACGTGCACTTGAGCGCTCAGGCGCAGACCGAGGGGGTGGAGGGGGAGATCCCACTGGCCACCTACAAGAAGTACATCGCCTACGCCAGAGCGTGAGTGCGGCTGCGTCCGTCACCACACACAGCTGCGTTTCATTGGTTAATCCCCCTCCTCTTCATCCTGCTCTGACAGGAAGTGCGGCCCTCGTCTGTCCGTGGCCGCGGCAGAGAAACTGAAGAACAGATACGTGGTGATGAGGAGCGGGGCCCGCGAGCACGAGAGAGAGACGGACAGAAGACCCTCCATCCCCATCACCGTCAGGCAGCTGGAGGCGGTGGTCCGCATCGCAGAGTCTCTGGCCAAGATGAAGCTCCAGGCTGTGGCCGGAGAGGAGGAGGTGGACGAGGCCCTGAGACTCTTCCAGGTGTCCACGCTGGACGCCGCGCTGTCCGGAAGCCTCTCGGGTGAGAACGGAACAGTTGACCTTGACCTTTGAACTATTAATAATGGTCTGGTACTGATGTGTTGGTCTGGGAGTCAGGACTGAGTCAGTGGGGGGGGGGGGGGGGGGCTCTCTACACCCCCCCGCCCCCTGGTTATTTTACCCACTTTTATAACAATAATATAAAATGTTTTCTTAATTATTATTTTATATGATCAATATATTTGTTTATGTTTTTGATCTTTAGATGGAGGGTTAATTTGATCAATTAATAGTATATTTCTGGGGGCTGGAACAAAATGTGATTGACAGATGAGTGAATAAACAGAAGTGCTATGACGGGTGTCTATGGAGTCCACTGTATTTACAACTGGGACACAGACTGACTCTGGGACACTGACTCTGGGACACAGACTGACTCTGGGACACAGACTGACTCTGGGACACAGACTTTTTCTTGATTTATTTATTTTTCTGAACAGTTTTTTCTGTAAAATGAAGGTGTGTGATGATGTTTGGACTCTGTCCTCTGGTCCCGAGGGACCAGAGAACTAGGGAGTTCTGTGTAACGTGTGGCTCGGACTTGTTTTGACCAGGAGTGGAGGGCTTCACGTCCCAGGAGGACCAGGAAATGATCTCACGGGTGGAGAAGCAGCTGAAGAGACGCTTCGCCATCGGTTCCCAGGTGTCGGAGCACAGCATCGTCCAAGACTTCACCAAACAGGTAGGTGTCCCACCAGACCAGTACCAGGTGGTGGTGCTGCTGCGAACACAAGTGACGGCATGTTCTGTGTTCTCCACCCACAGAAATATCCAGAACACGCCATCTACAAAGTCCTGCACCTGATGCTGAGGAGAGGGGAGCTGCAGCACCGCATGCAGAGGAAGGTTCTGTACCGGGTCAAGTAACTACCGTACTTTTCACTGATGTCTCTGTACATAGTTGTCAAACATGAAGTATTACTCCATGCTGTACTCGTTGCTGTACTTCATCTGTGGGATGGAGAACGTGTTTATCTCTGAATGAGGTGGAAAAAGTCCAAATAAATAAAGTTTAGTTTCTGTGCACTGCAGAGAGAGTCTGGCTGTCGGTGTCTGTCTGTCTGTGTCTCTGTGTGTGTGTCTGTCTGTGTGTGTGTGTCTGTCTGTCCCATTCAATATAGTGTAATATCTTAAGAATACCACGGGGGGGGGGGGGGGGGTGGGGGGGGGGGGGGGGGGGGTGGGGGGGGGGGGGGGGGGGTGGGGGGGGGGGGGGGGGGGGTGGGGGGGGGGGGGGGGGGGGGTGGGGGGGGGGGGGGGGGGGGGGTGGGGGGGGGGGGGGGGGGGGTGGGGGGGGGGGGGGGGGGGGTGGGGGGGGGGGGGGGGGGGTGGGGGGGGGGGGGGGGGGGTGGGGGGGGGGGGGGGGGGGTGGGGGGGGGGGGGGGGGGGTGTTAAAATCCCATTCACATTAGTACATTAATCCGGTGTATTTCACACTGACGTCACTGCTGTAGACCCCCGACACGCCCCCACCCCTCACCTGGGCACAGGTTTCTACTCTCCTGAAGCTCTATTTCCTACCCCTCTAGTGCCCTCTAGTGCCCATAGGAGATGCACGGCTTACACTATTCAAACTGTGATGCTGCTCTGTGGCAGTGCCTCCCCTTCCATCACGATAAGAAAGTACATAAAATAAGTATAAATATTTTCCACTGATCCGTGTTAAAGGTGGATTTTCAGTATGACTCTACACATTTTTGACATTTTATCAAGTAAAAATCGCTGAATTGAAGTATTTTTCGATCAAATACAGAGCAGAAATCCCGGATGAAGCAGAGACTGCTGAGCCAGTACAATCTGGGTCACATGACGTGGGTCCGTTTCTGTTCCTCAGATCATATCATCAATATGAACTTTACAGACATTTACAGTTCTACATCGTGACTCTCTACAGTCTGTGTCATGTCTGTAATGTCTGTAATGTCTGTGGGAGAGAATTGTTCCTGCTGACAGAGAAGAGTTAGCAGAGGAAGCAGGCAGTACTCCGCCTCACCACAAGGGGTCGTATGTGAACTAACAGGTGCTATCCAGCTGGCATCAACAAACAATTAAAAGTCGGCGCCAAACCAGAGGCAGTAGGCGGTGAATAACAGCGGTTTTTATGCTGCATCTGATCAGACTGAATATGGATTGTGTTTCAAGACGGAAACATTTCTCCAAACTGGACTTCCGGTCCAAACAGCAGGTGATAATTAATGTAACGCCGGAGCTAAAAGGTTAGCTTCAAACTACGGGACAGAAGAGTCGTTCTTTTTAAATGGAGAGGTACAAACGAAGAGACTGTCTGTGTGTCTGTCCGGTCAGAAACCGCCATTACTGCTGTCCTTGTCTTTTATTGTCGTCGTGTGATAACGTCTGGACGAACTCGGAATACTGTGACCTGAAACATTTACAAAAAAGCCTCCGCAGACATGGAAGATCAGCCACGAACATTCAAAGACAGATTTATTTAGAAACTTCTGGAAATTCAAGCATCGATTTGTCATCGGATGACCAACGGAGACTAAACATTAGCCTCGACGATGTTAAGGGGAGGGGAAACCGAGAGACACAGCCACGGACTTCAGCTAGAAGTAAAGGTAAGGCTAACAGTGGTTTGAAGTAAAAATAAGATGTGAGTAATTAGAAAAAAGTATTTTTCCTGAAGGTCATTAATTTTGTGCTGCTCTCATCTCTAGACTTTAATTTGTTTACAGTAAATATGAATTTCTTAGCCACAGGAAGGAGTTCTGTCCATTTCTATAAAGAACCGTTCTTTGTAGAACAAATGTGTTCCTATGTTGGTGTTGGTGTGAGTGTGACTGAAAGAGGAATGTTGATGGATATGAACCATTACCAGGTGTTAGACAAGTCACTGACACTGAGACAGTAGAAGAAGAACAGACCAGTCAGCTGCTGTTGTTGTTTTCACTGTTTATTAAAAGTTAATTAAAAATATGAACCATTTGATATGAAACAGAGTTTTCTCCTGTTTTTTTCAGTAAAGTGCCTGTGTTTGTGTGTTCAGTCTGTGGTCCAGTCTGCGGTCCAGTCTGCGGTCCAGTCTGCGGTCCAGTCAGGAGACGTAAATGCTCATGCCAATAGTGACCGCTGCCACACACAGACCCACAGTCAACTGCTTAACATTTGTAGGTGAGAGGAGGGCGGTGGGGGGGCGGGGGGCGTTCGGCTGCTCAGCTGTCGTGACATTCAGCATTTTCTGCAGGTCATCAAAAACCTACGAGAGAAAAAGTTGCTGAGTGGGATTTTTTCACATTCACTTCCTGTTTTCACAGCTTCCTTGTGTGACAATCCTGCACCTCCTCCTCTCTTCTCCTTTCCTCACCTGGATATTTAACTGGAAGGCTGTGACGGCCTCCTCCAGCACCTCCGTCTTCTCCTGCTCCGTCAGGCCGATGCTGTTCATGCGACTCCTGTACAGCTGCTTGAAGCGGTTGGGACTGCTCACCGCCGGGAAGGAGAAAAACTGAGTTCCCTCGCTGTCGTTCAGACCCAGACACTTTTGGGTGATCTTTCCCAGAACCTGACCCCCTGATAGGTCACCCAGGTAGCGGGTGTAAGCGTGCGGCACCAGCAGCAGCGGGTTGGTCCTGCCAATCTGAAAAACCAGGTCCTCGGTCAGTGCTCGTTCAAATGCCCTCCCACTGCCCCCCCCCCAAACTCCCCCCTCCCCCCGTGAGGCCCGTGGACTCACCTCTCGGAGCCTTCGTTCATATCTGTGTGTGGCTGCAGGGACGATCACCTGCTCCTTCCAGTTGGGGCCAAAAAAGTGGTCCAGGGCCTTT